TCCATTTTAAAATTCCCCCCCCCCCCCCCCCCCCATGCCAAATATGAGAGTCTATGGCTGTGACAGAAATGATAAAGTTCGCTATCAAAGCTGGATCGAGCCTATAGCCCCATGTTTACATCTCATGCCACATAAAAGGAGGAAACGGGCACGGGCAACATTCATGTCCGGTGCACAATCAGGATATTGATCATAACATTTTCTTTTGATAGTACGAGAGAATTTTAGTCATAGATACTACAGCAACTTAAAGTTCGTATCCGTCCTACTTAATCTGAGGACTTTAAGAAACAAATTGATTTAGCAATTGGGTTAGGAGAATGATAGTCATCATTAATAAAGCTTTCATAGTACCCGAATAAGATAAAATCAACTCTATGCCACCTAATTACACATTTTGAGGCCCTTTCCAAGGTCATATGTATTTGCAGAGGAAGGAAGTCATCTTTGGTAGGGAGCACTTTACCCCTATAGCAAGACTTTCCGGCATGAGGATTAGTCACGCCAAAAGTGGACACCGGACATCAGGTCTAGGAAAACCACATATATCTTTGAGAATATCATTGTTCATCTAGTACATAAATTGGTGTAAAATAGTAATCTCTTTCGTAATAAATTATGAAAGAGAACTGACAAGATTCTTAAACCTACTTCAGAAAAACACAGGAAATCTTCTTTGAACGAGAAAAAAGAAAAGATTAGTGAAACATATATCATTATGGCCTAAGTAATATCAAACCAGGTCTATTTAGTCCACTGTCATGCAGGTCAAATATTGTTTGAGAAGAGGTAAAATTCAGCTACCCGACCAATGAGGATTCGCATAGCCAACCCGAACTTGCTTAAGATTTTTTAACATAGTAGTAGTTGTTGTTAAAGTATTATAAGGAACCACGCTAGATGGAGAAATGCATCCTACTATCATGTGAATATTCTGATTACCACAATTATCAACCAATCAACCAACTATACTTCAATCCTAAACTAGTTGAGTCGATGATTTACATATCAATCCTCTGTATCTACATCCACCCAATGCAGGCCCATTCACCAAAAGTATCAATGTAATCCAAAAAAAATACATTGTTGACACCCAATTTTGGACCTCCACAATATTGAAATAATCTACGAACTTTTTAAATTCCGAACAATTTGAAATAATTAGCTTTTATAAAGTTCAAAATATTTTTTTCAAGTCACTTTTAATCAATTTTATTAATTTCTATAATTTTTAAGTAATATATATGTTTTATATAATCTTGTATATAATTAGTGTATTTTATAAACATTTCGAAAATCATCTCAAAAGATTTTAATTTTAGTAAGTATTGTATTAAATTAGTTTAGTTTAAATTATGGTTATAATTTTGAATCATTAGTTTACAATTAAATTACTTATCTTATGTCGTTAAAATTAAGAAGCTCGTTAACTAATTAATATAAATTCGTCTTATTTCACAAATAGCCGAATCCATCCTAATTAAGTTCAAATCGACTAAAATTTTGTAATGCATTTGTAGCCACGTATTTACCAAAGTCTTTAAACTTATATTGAAGGGCCAATTTTGGGCCAATATTTCCCTCAAACTTTCAGTAGCCCCTTCCCATTCAAATCAGCCCAATTCCAACAAATATTCTCAGCCCACTGTTTTCAATTACCAAAGACCCATCAACAATACAATTTCCAGCAACAACAACGCATACTAGCGCTCCCAAAACAGTACACTCGTTCCTCTTCTTCAAGCGGAAAAACCAGAAACTCCAGCAAATTGATCCAATTCAAAACCCAGCAACCGGCAGCCCACCAAATTCGACCCAGTCTCGCGTCCCTTTCCTCTCTCTTGTCCTCTTGTACAAATCGTACTCGAATCTTACAGGTGTCTCGATCGTGTTGCTTCGTTCGTCCTTTGACCTCAATCGGACGCCTCTCCATTCAAGTTCGTACCAGAAATCCGTTGCCAACCTTATCCTCTAGAGGGAATTTGAATTTCGAATTCAATTTCACCGAATGCCCCCCCCCCCCCCCCCAAAAAAAATATATTGATATTATTTTATTTTAAAAAAATAAAAATTCTACCAATCCTATTTAACCCTCCGTTCCTAATTTATTTTTATTTTTTTACATTTTTCTTGTTTTGTGTTATATATGTACATATATTTTTTAAGAAATTTTTTCTACTTGTGTACTGAATATATTCCATTCTATAAATAACCCCTTCTTATTCATGGTGGGGTTAGAGATTTTAGTTGGAAATTCCTTACTAAGGCAGGGGAAAAAGCTTAAGCTATTAGTTACGAAATATATAAGAAATACATTCAAAAGAGAGAAAGAAGAGTTGGTTTTCCATCCGAGTCTCATCGTTCTTTAAGATTAATTCGAGTTCGAGTCGTTGCCTGGGATTCTCGATTGCTGTCCATCTCGGTGGTGGTGGAAGTTTGGAACCTTCAGCTCGTTTGGTCTCCGTTTCGCTGTCCCGGAAGAGGTGAAAATCTCGCCTTTATTTCTCTTGTTGTGTCTTTTCCGAATTGATATAATGCTTACTTGAATATGCTTTCTCTGTTTGTAGTCTTCTTAAATCCTTGGTTGTTGTTCTCGTCTTAAGCTTGGCTTATTTATTCGCTTTGTTCTATTTCTGTCGGTTGGGATAATTTTTTGGTCTTGGTTATATGTGCTGAAAGTGTCAATGAAATTATTTTGCTGCTTCTTTAAGTATTTTCAAGCATAAACTAGAAGTTCATGCTAATATAAATAGGCATAGATTTATTTCCTCGACCGTTTTATGTTTCAGATGATCGCCTTTCATTATGAGATCCTTATATTGTTTCTTCTATATTTCTTATTCAATCAATGGTATTATATCCGGTTTGCTGGAACGATATCTTGAAAAAATGCTAAAACATGTTTATTCCTCTCTTCCCCTTTATTAAGTTACTCCAAGTTCCCTCTTTTCCTGTTTGAGAGTCATGTGAATTTCTATCTTACCCTGTTAATATTATTATGATAAGTTATCTATATTAAGGCATTTAGGTTCATTTTAGTGTTCCATAGGTTGTCTGCTACTTTGCTTGACTATGTAAAAGCATGGGAGTATTTTTTTATTTATTTTTGGAATTTATTATTGGTTTCAAAGCAAAGATTAGTAGTTTATTTATGTTACAATGACCCTTTTTCTTGAGAATTAGCTTTCCCTTGCCTTCATTTTGTTCCAATTTGAGTCACATGATATTGCTTCTAATTGAGAGGAAAACTTAGGCCCATTTGCTTTTCGGTTAGTTTTAGTTGGCATAATTTGTGGTTATCTTCTGATGTCATTTGACTCACTGTTGAGTTTGGCACGTGTGTGTTTAAGGTGAAGTTATAATTAATTAATCGAAGTTTAATTACCCTATCTAATAACATTAGATAATATCTTAAGGTTCATTGAGGGGGGCTTTGTGTGTATTAGTTGGAATTTATTGTTATTAATTTTTTTTATGTTGCTTTTTTTACTTTTCCTCCATATGGATTTAGAGTTGTTTGTCTTTTCCATGCTTAAGTCCAAGGGCAATTGTATACAGTTTCAGTTCACTTGGTTTCAAATCATTGAATCGTTACTCACTTTTTTTTTTGTGTTATATTTGCATGAAAAATTGTGCCCCGAGTCCTCATGGACTTTTTAACCTTTCCTTGCACCTTCTAATCGTGCCATGGAGGCCTAACCCCATCTTTATCGAGTCAGCCCCATTTTTGAGCAAAAGAAACTGATGAACGAGTGTCGGGAGAGCCATACAAAGCTGGAATTTGAACTTTCAAGCTCTGAAAAAGGTCGAAAACAGGTTGATATACATGTTGTATACACCGGTATACAGTCAGAAAAAAATACAATATACAGGTTCGAAGCGCAGAAATACAGGTGGAAAGGGCAGAAATACAAAGTTCAAATAAAATTACAAGTTCGGGAATTCGAGAATTAGCGATATACTTGGTGTATACATCAAATATACACTTAGTATATATCATGGCAAATGAGAATGAAAGGTGCCCAAAACCTTAAGTGATTTCAGCAGGCCCAAATGAAAAAAAAAAAATGGGCCAAAGCCTCGTTCAAAAATTGTTGCAGGAACTTTGAAGAATTGAGCCTAAAAGCCCATTTTTGCTGAATTTGGACAAAGAGCCCAAATTCAAATCTTCTCTCCTTTTTCTCCTTTGTTTATAGAGAAAATTTTACGTAAAAGCAAATAAAAAATTGCTAATTGTATGTTGTAGCAAACTTTATAAAATTGCAGTCCGTAGCAATTTTTTAGTTTGCTACAGATGTGTCTTTCTGTCAGTCTGTTTTTTTATACATTTTGATTGTTTAAAATAATAAATAAAAAGACATTAATTTCGGTTAGAAAAAAAAGGAAAAAAATCATTGAAGTCACGCACGTTCTGTTTCATTCGAATTCCCTTCCTTCT